CAGGAACCTTTGCCACAATGTCCTTAAGAAGTCCATGATGGCAAATAACCTGTACGTTCAATGCAGAGACCCTCTGCTATTGTAGCCGTTATAGGCTAATGATACAAGCTGCCACTACAACCCAATGATTTAACTTAAATTATGCATTACATCTGAATCTCCATATCTGGTTAAGTATACAGATAATCTTGGTATTCTGTTTCCAGAGAACTTTCTGGAAATTTAAATGTGCTCCGCCTGGTGATCTCGGTCTGTTGCAAGAGGTAGCCATTTTAAGAAGTATTAAGCTGTTAACAAGTGGGTCAGGGAGCATGTGGATTATTAAGAATTTAACATGCTAGTTTAGTTACGAGGGGGTTTTGGGAAACCCGTTAATTAACAATTAATCTTTAGTTGAAGTTAATGAAGTACTTTGTGTTACAAAGCTTTTGGGGAAACACACCCCAAATCATTTACCCTTTAACCTCATTTGGGAGCATTAATTTATGATAAATGAAAAGCATACAGATAGACAATTACATTTTTTCGGGTTTGTTGTTTAGTAATTCACTGAATGCTTGCATCTGAATTGTTCTGTGTAAGCAATTGTAAAATTGCCATGTTGGTTCTCTTTTGTGCATATTAAAAGCACTCAACTTACATAAGCAATAAAGAGGGGAAAAAAAACAGGAGTGACTTATGAGTAAAACTACATTTCACATTAAAATTTTTAGAACTTGTTTGAAGACCCATCTCCCCCCCCCCAAACACCAATCCTCTGATGGAAGTAGTTCCATGAACATACTATAGCATGGCAAACAGTCTGTGCTCCTGTGTGGAGCCTGGTCTTCAGAGAGAAAATATGCTTTTATCCCCGATATGCTTACTGGGGGCAATTTGGACACCATATTGCCACGGAAATGCCAAGCAATTGGAAAATAGAAATGGAAAAACATTTTACATGCACTGTGGACGAATGAATTGGGCACAAGTTCAAAGGAGAGGCAGGGATGACCGTTTTGCAAAATTCAGACCCTTGCATAGTTTTGATTGTTCTTGCATTAAAAGACAGCTACTTCAAAGCGCCACAAATGCCATTAATGAGTTGTATACACACACTTTATTCCACATATTCAATGCAAAAAAGCAAAAACAAAGGCATGGTGGCAGCCTTGTTTAGTTCTGCTTGTGTGAAGCAGAAAGATTGATGAGAACAGATGTAGCAAAACTACCAGCAAACCTGCTTCTGATCTGAAACTAGGACAACTCACCTTTCAGGAGGAAAAGCCAGCCAACCAATGGTTAACCATCTTTCCTTCAGCAACCTTAATGGCAGCACTAACCCATACCCCATCCACACCAGTACCTCTGGCTCAACCACACACCATAGCCATAAATCCTCTCCAATGAGTCTGGGGACAGTAATTCAAGGCTCACTGCCACATCAAAACAAGGAAAAACATGGACCGGGTCTTAGTGGTCAAGAAAAGGTGCCTGATTTTTGCTGGCCTCTTCCCCAGAGCATAGATTAAATCTTGCATCTCACAGCCTATCTTAAGTTATCTTAAGAAGTTGGATCAATAAAGGCAACAGGCAACACCATAGTTATAAATGGACAACTACGCAAATCTTCCCTATCCATTAGTTCAAGTAGATAGCCGTGTCAGCATACATCGGAACAAGTAAAGGTTTTAACCTATGCATCCCAAAACAGCTGCTGTACCTACTTGAACTACTGTACTTCTGTAGTGACCCACTTCATCTAAATCTCTCTAGATCTTGGTTATTCCTTCTCCTCCTCCCTGGGCTACTTCCCCCTTCTTTCACCAAACCAGCATTTGGTCCCTTCACAGTGATCTGTCCCAAGACCAGGCTTTCCAACCACCTCCTATTCCTTTACTGATGTTGTAGTTATAATAATCCGTACTAAAGGGTTTTGTCTGAAATGTAACACTTTCCTTTGACTCCAACTCTGGGTGGTACAACACTCAGACCTCAGTTGTAAGGAAACTGATGATTTCTACCATTTTCTCCCTCAAAGAGGCCAAGGAAGTTATGGTTAACAGCTCCATATCTTCTCTTTATAACTATGTTCATCTGATACCTCAACTCCAAGGAAGGGAGTGGGGGGAGAAGGACCCATATCAATGAAGCCTCCAGATAACTAACCAACACTCTGCCTACCGTCTCTCCCATAGCATCCGATCACTAACTACCAAAAGGAAGTGGTATCAAGAGCAAGGAGCTCCCCCAGAAGGCAAGCCATCTTATCATTGAACATCCTCAGGTATCTCAATTTTACTTTCCCCAAAAAAATTCAAACCCAACACACCTGGACACCCCATTGTCTCAGGATGCAACTGTCCCACAACTCAGCCCTGTGAGACCACTGGACATCAACCATGCTCTCCAAACTAAACGATTTCCAGTTTCATGGCCTTAATGTTATATTTTTGCCATGCAGACCACATTTCTACATACACCATGCAGCCCTCAAGCACACTACAGACAAAGTGCTTGATCCACCCACACTCTTCTAGCTTGTTGCAGAATTGATCCTTCCACTGAATGCTTTCACATTCAATAACCTTTGTCAGAAGGTAAGTGGAGTTGCCATGGGCACCAGGATAGGACCCAGCTACATTAAATTTGCCTGGTAGGTAGACGAATGCTTCTTCACTTACTGCACTGGCTTTGTCCCCAACCTCTACAGGCAATACATTGAGGACGGCATCAGTGCCACCACATGCTTTAACTAGCTAGACCATTTCCTACATCCCATGAAGTGCTGGAGTGCTCCAGTGCCTGTTCAACCCGATTCTGTGCTTGAAGAGAATCCCCGTGCTCTGGAAAACATTATGCCTGGTCCCAGTACCAAAAAAAAGGGTGCTCCACCATCCTCAATGACTATAGAGCTCTGACCTCTCACATCAAAGACACTAGAGAGGCCGGTCTTGGCCCATCTGAGATCCCTGATTAGTTCAATTACTAGACACCTTGCAGTTCACCTACCAGCCCAATGTTGGTGTGGAAGAATCATTTACATGCTACAAAGGGCCTACTCCCACCTGGACAAGCACTGTGAGGATCATGTATCCTCCCCCAACTTCTCTGGTGCCTTCAACACTATCCAGCCCTTATTGCTAGGAAGCTTGAAGAGGAGCAAGTGGGTACCTCCATAAATTTCTTGGATTACCAATTACCTGATGGGCAGACTAGTTTGAGACTGTAGTACTACCTGAACAGGTAGCAAGTAATATAGGGGCTCCTCAAGGGACAATTCTTTCCCCCCCCCCCATTCCTCTTCACCCTCTATACTTCAGACTTTATAACTCAGTTATTCCACCTGTAGAAGTTCTCAGAATCCACAAGTGTGGGATGTATTGAGGGTGGGCAGAAGGCAGAGAACAGCTTTATGGAGTGGTGTGGGGAGAACCACCTGCAAATTAACATAGCAAGGACTAAGGAGCTGGCGATGGACTTCAGGAGGAAGATGGTCCAACCTACTCTTGTCTGTAGACATGGGAGGGGCGTGGAGAGAGTTAAATTCATACAAGTACCTGACCGTTCACATCAATGATGGTCTGGAATGGACCAAGAACACCGAGGCCATATACATGAAGATTGCCTTCTAATCTTCCTTAAGTTTGTATATTTTGACTTCACACCAAGCAGTGTCCGGTTTTCTCCTGCTCCCAGCTCATTGCCACTCCCAACTTTGTTCTCCTGTGCTTCAGATGCCGATTTCCCCTCATTTCAGCAAGAAATAAACCTTCACTTGTCCATTTGCATCTTAAGTAATCAGGAACACAAATTTGACTTTCTCCCAGTATACAGTGGCTGACATTAGACAAATTAGTTGAATAACATACCTAGGGCAAGAACCTTCTACATTAGGTAGGTTTTCTGTACATCTTGGCAAAAATAAAATCACATGTGGAGAATCCCACTCATAGTTCTCCAAGGCAGACTTGTAGTCTGAAACTATAGAAGTCTATCCTGCAGAATACATTGACTACTACTGTACCTCAATCTGCTGTCAACTCTACACCTTAGTGTCAAAGAAGAATTTTGTAGGAAAATAATTCAAGTCCCCAATACAACCTTAACTATAGACAGTTTACCATATACAGTACAGGGGAATAAAAGGCACTGAACCACCACACCAGCTAAACAAACTTTGAATCACTGCACACATTTAAACTGTTAACCCTCAAAGCAACAATACCCACCCCCTTACTGAAGAAATTAACCTTCTTAATTCTTAAGCAAGGCCCGCTCAAAAGAAGGGTCAGAAAAGCAGACTTGGGGGGTGGGGGGTGGGTGAGATCCCCTTCATGCCTAAACGCAGCTATGAAACATGCAAGAACTGATTCAAGAGGCCAGCAAAACCCTGTGGAGACCGAGCACATACAGTAGGGACTCATTACCTAAAATAACTTGAAGGTAAGCAAGTCATTAATCTGGCAGACAAGGGAAGTGCGACAGTCTTCACAGATGGGGAAACTTCTGTGTGCCTCCGCAATGTATTAAGTCAGGAACATTACATTAGTTTAGAAGAACCCCAAACAGGGCTAGAGATCTCGTAAATGTGTACAAATTCTAGTAGAACATAAATAAGTTGAAGACTATAAGAGACAAATCAAGACCAGGGATACGGCCAAAGACACATAGTCCCAGACATTCAGCCATTCCCCCCCCATGGAGACCTTTTGTGTCCAGTGAACCTTACAACAGCAAACAGTATAGAGTCCATTTCCTCAACCCCATTTATAAATGCTGCCCAAGTAACAAACACTTGACTTGGTAGTCAAAGTCAGAAAAGCTACAATTCAAGAAGTCCTCCTATTCATAATAGACATTGACAGCTTATACACCAATGCTAAAACTGGAGGGACTGAAAGCAATCTGCGAGTGGTTTAATAAATCCTACAACTACAACAGAGCAGACAAACTTTGTAACCATTGGAAGCTACTCAAAGTTTGAATAGAAGTTGAATAGCAATTTAATTTACACTCACCCCCCTAGTGGCTCACTTCAGACATGGGCTAGGAGTGCACAGAATCCATTGGGTTACTCTCCACCCTGTATGGATAAATAGACAATAAATCAAGAAAATTACAGTATCCTCTGTGGGCCTGAACGTCAGGGACACAAGGTGAATATATGAACAAAAAAAGAAGTCTCAGGTAAATGTGCTTTGTTACAGACCTCAGAAAGACCAGAAGAGGACAGATGGACTGTAGCTCTCCCTTTCCCTAGGTAAGGAGTAAATATCTATAGATGACCTCCAAAATCAGAGACATGGTGGAGGCACCTCTCCAGTTTGCCAGGAGAGACTGCCTCTTTGGGAAAACTGCCTTCTGCTCAAGCCAACCCAACCCAAACTTTAGCCTAATCACCAACTATAATCAACCTAAGAAGGGTTGATATAGTATGGTGAAACCTGGTTAGGTTATACATTACACAGAATGAACAGATTAATTAGAAGTTTTACGATGTTACAAGGAGATTGTCACAGACGGGTGGAGGTACACAAAACTGAAGCATTCATCCCTTCATTCCAGTACATAAGGGTTAAACCGGACACATACAGATCAAACCCTAGAAGCTGTTGACAACTCTTAAGATAAGGCTTTGTTTTCAGTGGTGCTGGGTCACTACTGTCCATGAACTTAATCACCAGTGAAAAGGCCAGCAAGCATACTTCAGCCAAACCTCCTTTCCAACATTTGGGCCAAAACTTTTTTGGAGTACTAAAGTTTAAGCAAACAATCTTAAGGTGATCATCAAGGCATTTCTGAATTGAGAAATATTGAAGTTGTTACAAAAAAATTCTTAGGTGCTCTTTTAACCGATTTGTTTGCTATGCCTTTTTAAAACCAGAAAGGTGGTAAAGTAGCTCGTTTCCAGTTGAAACCCATTAAATTCTTAGTACCGAGTCCTTCGGGTTACAAAAGCAGTTTTTCCCTCCCTTTTACCCATTACACAGGAAGTGCCAATATCCCTTTAAGGAGGATCTAACAAGGGGATATACAGTACCTGGCTGTCCAGGTCTTATCCATTAATTCATCTGTTCAAATCTGATGCAAACCCCATGACTAGATGAATGCATTTAAATTTCCAGTAATTGTTGCAAAAATATATAGTACTACCCATTTTCAGAACCAACAGTATAGGATTCTTCCTGATCAGGGTATTGCAATTAAATGGTGTTTCTATTTGATGAGCTGCAGTATTGTGGTATTAACACCGCTTCAACAATCCACATGTGGAAGGAGCTCATCAGGGCCATCTCAATCAAGCATAGGCCAGGCATATCCACCAATTAGGAACCACATTCACTATTTCACTCAGACATTGAGCTACACTAAGGAGGGTGTAGTGGTTTACCCTTCAGGGACTCTTGCCCATGGACTCCTCCATTCCGATTCCCCTTATTACTGTATTGCTCAATAAGCCATTTAAACTCCAGCAATTAATTCACCATGCCTCATTTTCCATTCAGGGGCACAGCATAACAGTAATTTGCCATAGTTTCAGGAAGTCAGGGAAATCTCTTAATACCACAGGTTTCAGAAGGTAATGTACATCTCCCACCTGGCAGCTCACAGGGCCGGCCTCAAACCTTGGCAACACCAGCCAGCATCAGCTGCCAAAGGTGACCTGTAAGGAAGTGTTCTCAGTTCCATCCTCAATTTGTAAAAGATTGATTAAATCCTTTGACAATAGGAAAACCATACTACCCAAGTCTAACAAAGTAGTAACTTGGTCAGCAAACATTACTGTACAGAAGTTGACAGTCAATATTTCCCAGAAAACATTTGTTCTCTTTTCTAAATCTCCCTCAAAATACACTCCAAACTTTCCCCACCATCTTCAGGGATCTTCACTAACCTTATGCCACAGTTCTTAACCAAGAAACCCTGTAGGTCAAAGCCAGGCTTGTACTTCCATGTCAAGGGGATATTTCTCTTCAAATCCCTTGTTCCCAATCTTTGGTATCCTCCACGTTTATCCTCTTCTGTTCGGCCTCCCCACATCAGTCTAGGTTCTGTGGCTATACGGTAGCTTCTATGGCAAAGGCCATCTCAGAAAATGACTGGACTGTTGACTCCACCTGGCTGCATGGTCAACCTCAGGCTGAAGCCACTTTCTTAAATGAAATTGAGCAATTGGGATCCAAGTGCCAACCCAGGCTGGAAGGACCGAGCATGTATGGCAGGCATGATTCCTTTCTACCTTTAGTCACCATTAATCACAGGCCTCAGCAGCTGTGAGGTCATTGTAGACCTTCTGCTCTTTTAAACTTAAGTCCCACCGGGCTAGAGGCTATTGCTCTTACCAATGAGTTTTCAAAGAGACAAATATGCCTCTACCTCCTCCATAGCAGTCATTTTCTGCAGGCAGTGGCTAGCACAGATGGGAAAGCTCCTACATCACCACCATCACTTTTTCCACAGCAGTGTTCTGCATCTTTAACTGTAAGCAGTGGTGGGTGCATTTCCACTCTTCTTCAAGAAGCTGATCCTGTTCATGTGGCATTACAGCCAGCTGCTGGAGTGCTGTAGCATCCTGCACCATGGCCTTAATGTAATCATTCATTTTTAGGCTTCACTTGCACCCAGGCCTTTAACAAAAATGCCCATATCCACCACCGAAAAGTTACATTTCCAGGGTTGCCATGTCACAGCCAGAGGGATCTTAATGACATTGCCAGAAAAAAGGCTAGTAGAAGTTCCTCAAACTAAACTCCAAAAAAAAAAAATTAACCCATACCAAGTCCACATCAGACAAATCACAGCAATCTTGTCATCTTGTCTTCCACACCCTTTTTAAAGCCAGAGAGGAAGTACTGACTGTAATTGCTGACAGCTGGAGCACATTAAACAGGAAATGAGCTGACCATTTCCCCCCAGCATTTTGGGAAATGTAGTTCTCTGCCTTTTTGGCACATGTGAACACTACGAACTTTTAAAAAGACAGATTTATATATAGAGGATAAAGGCTTCTCAATACTCCAGGCCCCAAGTGTACCCCCTTTATAACCTCCCCCAGTTTTATCTATTAAGGTCAGTTCTAAAGGACTGGCATTTGTGGGTGACTGTTATTCCTGAGCAGCCTGTGTTTTTATATAAGTGTCAGTTAATGGGACGTTTTTTTAAATAAGGTCAATTTAAATGCCAATGTGGGAAGCATCTTTAAACCTCCAGAAATTCCAGCCTTGCAGTGTCCAATTGTCCCTAATGTCTCATCATCCCAGTCTCTTTAAACACAGACTTCATTGTAAACCACAAGACAGTTGTCATGCTTTTAAATGTGTCAGAAAACCTTTCCCATAGAAATGTACAGTAAGAGAGTTTTTGAAGGAGAAGTGGTT